ATGCCGATCCATGTCGTGTCAAACTTATTCAAACTTGCGATTCCAGATGCTCCTTGCTTGGACTGGATAAACGACACATCCGACTTTGCTACTATGCAACAATGGTAATGTGAGCCGATTTCAGTCATCGAAAGCAGATTGAAGGCAAGCTGACTTGGCGCATGTGTGCAGAAATGCACTTGAGGCTGTCCCCACGGCAGTAGAAAACGAGCTGGACACCGGAATCCGAGTCGATGCAATCAATCCGCAAGGTTTGACTGAAGACAGGATTTGAAAAAATTGACATTAAGATAGGCTGAAGTCGCGCTTGTCACACTGTTGCCTTGTATTGAGGTCATTTTTTCAAGTTCAGTTTAGAAGTTCTTGGCAGGAAGAGGCAGGACATTTTCATGCTCAAGGAACTCATCTTGGGCAGCCAGGAACCTACGAGGAGAGGATAATGAACGGCAGCGAGGCTTTTGCTCTTGAAACTGCGTGAAACTAGTATACTAGCGGAATATTTGCCGATATTGTTTGATTTGAATAGCAGTCAGCTGTAAAATTGCCCAAGGTAACCGACTGGAATTGGTTTGGCAAGCCATCTCGTGCTGGCAACATGTTCAAAGGCAACGACAACCAGACATGAATACGACAACCAGACATGAATTTCAGTTTCGATACATGTTTAAGGAACCAAAGTTTGGCATTAAGACGCGCCACCAGACTTGCGGGGCAAACATACAGGCATTGTAATTCAGTTGTTCTTCGTAGACTTTCTGGTTGGGAATTTCTCCCCAGATTCAGAATGCTGGGAGAACTCTACAACACCAACTATGCCATGGCTTGGATACCATGATCGCCTGTTCTGAATTGCACACGTGACGCAAGATAATATGTATTTGCTCCGGCAAAAGGAAGGGAACATAATGGGTAGCGAGTTGTATGTGTATCGCTTGAAGCAAAGAGGAATGCAGGATTGCTCGAAACCCAGCCATGGTTTTTCACGATGAATTCCGAGTGTCACATCGCGGCGGGACAGCCGTTTGTCATGCGGTGTGCATGCAGTTACAGACGGAAACGCCACACGGGGTTCAAGTCGCAGATTGGGGTTTCATGGAGCTCGCACTGGCACATTGGGGATAGCGCGGAGGGCTTCAGATGTCAGATTGATTTGTAGCGACAGCACAACATATCATGGCCTCAGTAGATTCAATGCTGCACTACTCACCAACTTAGCTAAGGCAACTCATGACTTAGGAGGCACGAAGCTCAGTTCGCTCGCAGCTCAGCTAACTTTGCTCACAACGCTTAGCTCAGCGGTTCGCTAACTCACCGAACTAAGAGTGCTTTGGCTCCAACTCATCGAACTCACCACTCAGCTCGCTGAAGCCTCCAGATTGGCCATCTCAAAGCTTACTCATTGCGGCCTCCAACCTACTTGTAGTAGCGATGGCCTCCAACCTACTGATAAGTTCAAACAACATGTGCATGGCTGCAACGCTGAACACGCACGCAGGGTGTGCTGGCACGTTGCATCCTGCAAAGCTGAAAAACCTTCTTACAGTGACACAGTAAATAGACCGTGATGCAGTGATACAAATATTCCAATAGGTGAAAACATGGTTGCTTTTGACTAACACGTTTTCTTGGCGCACACCAGCAATAGAAATCTGGCGACGCTGTGATGTGACGTGTGTTAACAATTATGGGGAGCTGATTGAGCTTTGAACTCAAAAGAGCCATCGTGATGGGTTCGCCGAGTTTGGTCTATCTTGATTTGAGTTAGTAGGTTCCATTTTTTTTAATCGTCTTTATTCTTTTCTTCTGACTTATCAGTAGGCCGTGTTTTGACTTTGGATCTTGGTGAGTCAGGAGCCACCGATCAAGCGCCAAAAAGCCGCCAAGGCAAGGATTTGGCAGATCACCAGCGAAAGGGTTTGTGCTGATGCTGATAGGGGACTTGAAAGGTTTTGAGGATAGCCCGCGAAACTAGCGCAGAAGAAGTCGCAAAACCCCACGAACACAGGGCATGCAGGGCATCGGTTGTTGATTTCAGACTTTTGTTTGAGGAAAGTAAGGAAGTCGGGGGTATATATTCTTGTTGCTGTTTTGGATGTTTGGTGGAGTTCAACAACAGCTAAAACTTCAGCGCCGGAAACTGATCAAAAAGAACGCATTCACTCGCACTCCCGACCTCCTGGCTCTCCAGAAGCAGCGGGCAGGCATGTAGGTAGTTGCTACCATGCTAGAAGATGGAGGTGTCAAAGTCGTGAAGAGTGCCGTGCTAGGTATGCTACTCCATGCCAAGCTGCTAGGCCGTAGTCTACATCAACCAGACCATCAGCATGCTACGCCGACCTTGCCAGTCCTTCAATAGCTCATTGGCTCGTTTGATAGCCAAATTTTCGCCCGCTGGCCATGCTGCGGCCTGGCATATGGGGCCAACGTGCCTCCCCCGTGCAAGTACCCCTTGCTCCAGCATGCCCAGGTGTCTAGCCGGCAATGTTTCATGATCATGTTGAAGTGGGTGTGTTTTTGTTTGTTTTCTGCCTGAGCGGCCAACACAACACTTTGGAAACGTTTGAACATTGAGATACATATCATTGTGTTGTGGGTTTGATGCAGTAAGCTTCTTATTTATTTGAAGATCCATTGCATGAATGGATGAAGCAAACATGTTACATGTTTGCCATAATTTGTACATCATTTGGAAAGTAGGTTCCAGCGTACAATGTTCAGTGCCGTTCTCAGACACCAACTGCATGTATGTTGCAGGTCCGATGTTGATTCGACATAGCTGCCAGATGGTTTGCCACCAGCTGCCGCACTGGCCATTAGAGAAATCACTTAGCCAAGCAACTGAGAAGAAGGATGCATGGGATGTGTGGTGGTGCTTCAAGAAGCAAACTAAGAACTGAGAATGCCCATTGGGAACCATTGTGTTTTAATTTGGTTGTTTATTTATTTTGATATGAATAGTATATACTGGTCATTGGTTCCGATTCTCCAAAATACTTGAAGAGGAGCCAAAAACATTAGATTCATCACTCTACTGACACACACACACACACATACACACACACACTCACAAAGTGGAGTATATAGGGAGACAAAGGTATTCTGCATGCAAGAAGTCGCTTTGCTGCGCAAGCAAAATCTTCAGGCTTGTAGAGTGGCCAAGTTTGGCGGAGTATTCAGTTTTGAGCCAATACAATAAGAGTCCAGATGAACGCTGCGATTGGCTGAGGCACGGCCGGATCACGAGCGCCGCATGGCCATAGCTTTGCTGGCGCTGGAAGCTCGTTCTCGTGAGGCCGAGCCTCAAAAGCACTGGCTGAATTCGGAGAAAGCCTCTTGGCCAACTTGGATCAGACTTCAATCGTCCTCATTCTTTTTGGATAAGGCCAAGGCTACAGGCAGGATACTTATTCCAAGATCGCAGCCAATGCTCGGACTGAGAGTAACGAAGTCGTTTTGGAAAGTCCCTTGTTTGGGAAAAGATTGATTCCTTCCGAATTGCCGTGCCACTAATAGTTTAATTGACTGCATACTTGCAGAATGAAATCACATGACACGCAAAGTATTTGGTTTGAAGAAGCCTGTAGGCCTCCTGTTGTTGGGTCATAAATAAGCCATGGTCAAAAACATATATATATATAATTATATATATATATACAAATATTACAAACAGTGTGGACACACTTAGGGGTTTTTACGGTAGGTGAAAAGCAGCTGTGCTTAGATCGCTGTGCCGCGCGGGCCTTTCCGGCTAATTCGCTGCTATTTACAGTAGATTCATGCCTCTCGAAATCCTCGAATCAAGTCCATTTCAACTGCGCAGGCTCGCGAAATCTGCGTGGGCGCGGCGGGTGCTTCTAGCGACTGCGCTCTCGTTGTGGTGCCGCGCGCATTTTCGCACATCATGGTGGTCACTTTTCGTGGCAGGCGCAGGGGAAACCTGGTCCAATGTCGACTTTTCGTGACAGGTGCAAGGGGTCGGAGCGGCTTTACTTCGAAGTGCAGATCTCGTGGCAGGTGCAGCACTTTGGACATGGTGGTGATCGTCGAGGCGCTCTGATTTCGTGACAGGTGCAGTGAATCGTAGGCTCGTTTCCAAGTGCAGATTTCGTGGCAGGCATAGCACTTTGTGAACCTCGAAGTGCAGATTTCGTGGCAGGCACAGCACTTTGTGAACCTCAATGTGCAGATTTCGTGGCAAGCACAGCACTTTGTGAACCTCGAAGTGCAGATTTCGTGGCAGGTACAGCGCTTTGTGAACCTCGAAGTGCAGATTTCGTGGCAGGCGCAGCACTTTGTGCTGTCAGATGCTCACCTCGCTCTCACTCACACTCACACGCACACACGCTCACACTCTCTCACTCTCACCCTTTCACTCTCTCACTCTCTCATTCTCTCACACTCGCACTCACACTCACTCACACTCACGTTCACACTCACTCTCACACTCACTCTCACTCACACACACTCTCACTCGCACTCACAATCACTCACTCTCACTCACACTCACCCTCACTCTCACCTTTCTCTCACACTCACTTTCACTTTCACTTTCACTTTCACTCACTCTCACTCTCACTCTCACTCCCACTCTCACTCCCACTCTCACTCTCACACTCACTCTCACTCTCACTCTCACTCTCACTCTCGCTCACTCACTCTCACTCACTCACTGTCACTCACTCACTCACTCACGCACGCACGCACGCAGGCACGCACGCACGCACGCACCCACTCACTCACTCACTCACTCACTCACTCACTCACTACAATCACACACTCTCACTCACACACCCACACTGACACTTACACTCACCTTCCCTAGACTTTCTGCTTATCCACTGTTTGGGGTCTCTTGCCGGGATAATAGTATTTTTTCAAAACTCTACATTTGGTGTGAATTGATTGTTTGAGCTGAACAGCTAGTGCATTCCAGATTCCAGGCTCCGTGCAGAAAATGGCATGGGGTGAACTATGGAAATCGCTTCATTCCAGAAGATTGGATGAGGCGCCAGAATGGAGATTTTAACAACACTGATTTGACAAATGAAAACATTCATTGTGACGTGACAGGAACAAACCATGACAATTAATTGAGTTTGTTATATCATGTTGCATTTGGTCCTTTCATTCATGGTATCTCCTCCAACCCATAAAAAACCTGGCATCAGTAGGTGATTATAGTTCCCATGAGTTGAGAGAGAATGAAGATGCATGGACCAAGGACCCCTACTAGGGGTTCCTGGCATCGCTACTAGGACCATTCTTACATGTGGAGAAGATCTCCGCGGCCCCTCCGGCCAGGCATCCCTACAATTTCTTCCAGCCCGTCCGCCGAAGCGCACGACGAGCGGCCTTGTGGGACTTAAAAGGACCAGAAGCCAAACAGAGGACTGTCCAACAGCGGTCGCAAAGTCTGGGGAACGTCTAGGGCCTAGGGATTTTTTTTGCCGAAACGTGTGGGTTTTGGAGTGGAAGAGGAGAGAGAGATTGTGATGCATTGTTCCATGTACTGAATCTTTGGTTTGCATGGGATTATTGTAACCTGATCATGTGATCGTATGGGATGAACTTGCGATTGTAGATGTTTTCAATCTTGTCAATTTCTCTCAATAGCTGGAACCAAACGACATTCCATTGCTCTGGCACATGGAGACTACAACAACTGCATCAATTGTTCGCATCTTTGCAACCACTGCGTTACCTATGTGCCTTGAGTTTTGACGATGTCAACTTTGGACCCTTCCTTAGCCTTTACTATTACCCTGTACCTTTTCATGGCTTTTGATTTTGGAGGATGATGTCATGGCTAGATGCCACAATCTTAGAGAATCACTTCGCAGAGATGAAGACAATGGGCGTTGAAGTCTTGCGGGTACCCTGTGGCTATTGGAACTGGGTGACGTATGCCCATGATGATGGGCCGGAAGTATCAGGGGTCTATGCCACGGGCCCAATCCGAGAACCTTGGCCTTGCAAGAATGTGTAGCGTAGTGATTTGCAAGGGGCCTTGTATATAAATAGCATTATTGAATCATTGTTGTATCAACCTAATCCTAACAGTTTGGCTTTATCAACCAGCTGTGGTTTGGCGCTGCAAATGAAAAGTTATCAATGTAATTGTGAATGCAAAATAGTACGAAGATAGACGAAGTCTACCATTGCATGACTTCGACTGTGTCAGCCAAGGACAGGCTGAAAAACCTTCATCGGATTGCTTCTCCCCGTGAATACAGACAATACTTTGACAAAATTTTTGACTTCGCAGAACGGTGTCTTTGCAAAATCCTTGGAGTTCAGCAAGCAAAATGGCCTATAGGGTTCAGCTTCTCCTTGACCAACAAGGACGCTTATATATAATATACCAATTGACAGCCAGTAGTTAGCAGGTTGCAACGCACTCCCTGTGATAAGAGCTGTGTCAAAGACAAGTCTATGTTCAGAGTTGTGTGGTTTGTCCTTTTCATTTGTTCGCTATTTGGTGTACATGATGCCATGCGTACGTTGCAGCTCCAACTGGCAGATGAAATATTGCCAAGCATGATACTGTTGACGGAAGAAATCACTTTTGTGAGGATGATACCTGAAGCCCTCGCACTCCCTCTTTAACATGGTCGACTCATCAAAACCTGCAAAGGTTCCACCTGCCGGCACCACCTGCACGACCTCCCTGCATGACACATAGAAATTGAATGAAATTGAATAGGGGCGAGGGGCTGCTTGTTTGTCTGGTGTGGATGAGTTAATTCTGTGTCAAGGGGCGCAGGATTTCTTCCATCAACCATAGGAAAGACTTCTCCATGCTCCCTACACATGCAAGCTTGTGAGCTTTGCAAGGCACGGGATACAAATCTTGCTTGATTTGCATGCCGTGCCAGGACTGAGAACACACTATTGTGACATTGTGTGTTTGTTACAAGAAGTTTAGAGGGTCTGTCAGCCAATGCTACTGAAACTAAGAGTTTAGTGTCCGTTTTTGGTTGATCTGAGAGAATGATGATGTGCGTCGCATTGCTCAGTGCTTTCCTGAATTATGGCCGTGGAGCTGCAGAGCTTATGCCAATAACATCAGCAACATCATCATTTTGGAGTAGTGACTGTGACTAGAATGCAGCTTTGTACCGATTGTCTCTCCTTGTTCAATAAACCGCATTGCATGGCAAGTAAGTATAAATAATTTTGCCCACCTGAAGTGGCATGCACCAGTCTGAGCACTCGCGAGGATCCCAAAACGGAGAAATCCACAGTGGCGTTTGCATTGAGTCAAACGAGGACGAACATCATCGACATTTGGGTTTCTTTCAGTGCCAGGCTCTGTGAACCCGCTAAGCATTTTTAGTCTAGTTATATTGCTGGGCTGGAACTAGACTCTTCTGCTCTTGACCTTTTGATAAACGAAGGCTGCACTTTGATAGGAAGGGCGATTGCTGCTGGGTGTATATAGAATCTTGTAACATGAGGTGGGAGGTGATGAGGTGCTGCATGATGTTCACAAGTTTCAGCTGCTCTGCAAACATGAAGAAATGCGACCGAAACCTGGCAGTTTGACAACTCAAAAACGACTACCACTACGCAGGCAAACTTGCGCATGGCCGTCAATGCCGTCCGAGAAATGGCTAGGTATGGAAGGAGCACCCTTGCTGCACTTCGCTATGGGATCCATTCATGTACGTTGCACGTTCCACCACTCACTGCATCCTATGGTTATAGTACATGTTGGTTTTGATACAAAGTTGCAGGGCTTGAGCCAACCTTGCAATTGGTCAGCATGCTGCTCCCTGAGGTAAGAGGAATTTGTTTGGGATCCAAGTGATTAGCGAGCCGCACCTTCATACAGATGAGGGACACGCATATTTGCAATCCTACTATCAACAAGCCATCCTGGCAGCACGGGAATTTCTGGATAGCAGCGTGCCCATCGTTCTCTTCGAGTGGACCTATGAGATGTTAAAGTGGGATGATGATGCATTTCCTGAGTCCACCTATGGAAGAGCATCTTGGCATGGACACCTGCCGAGGCTCAACCCAGTGAAATGATACTTTTGATCAAGCATCTGAAAACAACATGTGGATGTTCGCAAGGGCTAGATATGGAAGAACAGCTCCTTGTGAAAAGAGCCTTGGTAGTGCTTCGCTGGGCTGCCTCTGTTAAGTTGTACTTTTTGACCAGATATATAGTGGCTGGCACTGAATAAATAATTACTGTACTGCTGAAGTTCAGCACAGAATTCAATAGTCAGCATCACCAAGATGTCTCCTGGTTTGAAGTCAGTCAGACCTTCCCTAACAGCTTGCTCGAGCAAAAGTCTTGCATATCATGGTAGCGCACTAGCCAGCAACCAGGTATGCTGGGATACCCACCTCTACCATTTTCCGGCACCTGGCGAGAAATGGACTTCGGAGAACAATGGTTTGGAACAGGCAAAGCATCTTGACTGCAGGGACATGTTTGTGTGCATCTCTCTTAATGCAGGTCACAGGATTGTCAACTAAGTATTGGCTGCTGGTAGCAAAAGTTCGGATGTCCTAGCTTAATTGTCGTCAATTTATCAAGTTAAGGCAAGCCTATTCCTGGGATTTACAGCAATTGCGACAATTTGCACGTGCACAAGGACTGGGTCGGGCTGAACGTGTGCTGACGATTGTTCCTAACAACCACTTTATTGACAACCTGACCAGTTTTCTTTGACTTGTCTCGAGAGTCAAGCATCTCCATCAGAATTGAATTGGAAGTCCATTTACGCCTGGCAAATATCTCTCCGTTCATTAAGCGAGTTCGCCATAAGCACGACCGCTTCTCAATCTGGACCTCCGTCTTGTGAAGTTCAGGCCGCGACCGCGTCTTCGTGGGCGAGTTCTCCTTGGCGGGACCCTCGCTGAAGGCCAGCGAAACCAAAGACTTTGCAGCATGGCTTGTGGAGCAGATGGACTTCGCGTGTGGTGGTTCGATGCTTTGGTCCTATGACAATCGGATCACCGCATGGAGCACCTCGAAGCAAGTGGCATGACGGTCCAACACATGTTAGTTGATCAAGCAATTCGGTGGTGATGGGTAATTTGTCAGAAAAAATCGTAAAAACTCTATTTATATGTGATTGGATGCCAAAAGCGCTATTACGCCGGCTGAATTTGATTGTTCTAGGACCTAACATTGGTTGCATGTGGAAGAGATGTCATCAGTTTCAGTCTCGAAGATTGCAGGTTTACAACGTCAGTGGCAGGAATTGGGCCTCAACTGGCGGAGCCTTTGGGCAGAGTCGGATGGTGCTTTTCTTGAGGGTCCCATGGTGGGCTTCCGTGCGGCCGCCTTTGGCACGTGGCTGCGGGCCACTGAGAAAGGAGAAGAAGTGTAGAGATCTTGGGACGGGGAAAGGGAGGATGATGAACATATTAGAATGCTTAGAATGGCAGGCTCTTAGGAACTTCACTGCACTGTCTTTCACTTTGAATCCAAACTTGTTCGTATACGATTAGTCAGTTGCATCGACATGAACCAGCTTAGTGCTGATGGGAAAAGGTCCAGCACATGTGGCTTTGAGGCGGGAAGTTTTGCTCAAACACATCTTAGCTATACAGATTACATGTATCGTACGCAGATCAAATGCAAGACTTCTTGGTTGAGATTCAGTCATTCAGGAGCTGTGGAGGCTGATGCACCTGAGCACTCTTGGTGGGAAGAGTGGGTGCCATATACCTATCGCGTGCAAGGCAGACAGAAACTGGCCTTGAGGTCTGCAGCCTTTGGCACCTGGCTTAGCGTCACCCGGGAGGGAGAAGCTTGGCAAATTTTGAGGATCGCAGTCAGAGTGCGATGAGAGAAGTCACACGTCACTATTCTCATTTTAGAGAACCGAAGTCACACTTGGAATGTTCGGCGGGCCTGCGTCAATTCTCACACCAGGGTTCCAAAAATACTTAACTTTTTCCGACACTTCGGGTTTGACCTGTGTTGCGTATTTGTTGAGACGCTTCAAGATGCGCTGAGGAAGTGGTCCAGTCAAATGACAGGTCAGCCTGGGAGGAGAAGCTGCACTTTGAGCAAACCTTGTAGCCACACGCTAGCACATTGCTAGATTTCGTGTTTCCGGTGCCTCTAAGGGCAATTCTGCCCTTGGGACCAAAGGTTGACTGAAACCTTGCAGATGGCTTCCGCATGCGTTAAATGAGTTTCGTGGAGGAGTTTTCAGTCCTTTCACATTCAGATCACGAAAGTCGAGGGCGTCGCATCTCCCTCCAGTCCTTTCACGGCTCCTGGCTAGCCGAGCCTCGGAGAATTGGAAGAGCCAGGAATAGTGAACGAGGATCAAGGAGAATGGGCCATCCATGTGCCATCCATCTCGAACAGCACGACTTGTTTGCATGTCCCGTATCTTAGAACCGGATAGGTACGATGGGCTGTAGCAGCCGTTCCCCTTTCAACGCCCAAAATAGTCCATGGAAGTGTTGAAGTGATCCTCGAACTCTTTGCAGTTTGCACGCTTTGAGGTAAGACGCTTTCGGCCCAACGACCGCCTCTTGCTTTCTGCTGCCTATTCCATTCATGACACCGAGGCTGGGGACGTGTGGGACCAACCATGTGATCATGGGGATGCTTCAGATGCCACGGTCAATTGATGTGAGCAACCCTTGGTTCGACTGCGTGCAGCGTTTATTTTTTTTGGTTCGGTTCTGTTCGTTGCAAGATCCAAACCCCACAGTTCCAAGACAACTGCAACAAATATAACAATCCAAAGCACCTATGATGTTCGGAGTTTGACACCGTGTGTTTGACATGTGTGGGTCACCGTTTGCTTGGCAGGTGACCACAACCTGGCTGGTGACATGAGCTCAATCGCTGCTTCACGTGGGATCCCGAAAGAAGGATCGAACGCCGCAGGAAAAGGAAGCTGTCAAGTGACTTGGTTTAGCCAACTGTTGGCCAATTCATGTTTGTTCTTGTATTCTTGTACTTGTTCCGGACTCTTGTTCATGCTGATCGTTACCTAAGATGCTTCCAGAGAGCCTCCAAAAATCGGAGGAGTCCTCCAAGTCTTGCCTGCAAAGGCAGCGGGACGACCAGGAACAAGAATTGATAAAATCCAGAAATCTACTAATCTCTATATAGAGAATTTCTAGGGATCCTCGCAGAAGATTCTTTTGTTTGGCTTGGGTATAGCCTTTGAAGAGGTTTGATGACCAGGACCCTGGAAGAGTACTCACTACTCACTCATTTTCACGCTTGAGTCCTTTTCAACCAGCACGGACGTTTTGTCAAGGAAGATAAGGAATAAGGAAGGCTCAGCCTCAGATATGAAATATCATTGAAATATCCAAGGTAAGGTAAGGTGTATTAGTAATTAGTATAAGTGTGTATATATATATATATAACTTCAACAGAGGCTAGATAATACCTTACATAGACTAGACAAACAGAAAAACATCGCATCACCACACTGAGAATCTGTTAGACATCTCCAAACTCAGCACAGACAAATCACCACACCCTGCCCAAACTCAGCAAGGATGACAAGAAAAATGGGAAGACAGGGGCAAATCGCGAAGGCTACTGCAACTATTCCAAATGACCAAGCGCATCTCAAGAATGCACATGTTGCCAATAATAACATACGATCCACTGAAATTGCAAGAGAACATCATGCTTCACCTCACAGCCACCGCAACATGTGTTACTGATTGTTACTGTGTTAAAAACAAGAACGTCAATCATCGCAACTCTACAAATCACCACATTGTACCACCACAGATACCTCCACACCACACAAGACCACATTGCGCACAAACACGCCACACATTGTCAGGTCGCAACAATGGATTTTGTTCTGCCACAGTGTCCATTTTGGAACTGGCTTTGACCCAGACTTTTGGTTTGATAAGCTTTTGTGCGCTTGCGTGGATCCCTTTGCTGCCTTAGCCTCAGCCTTTGAATCATTGGTGGCCGGCCATTTGGCAAGTGCTGGCCCCCATTCTTTGCGGCTGTTGCCCTGAGACGTTTACAAACATGAAGAACTGGTAACTGCATCTGTAAAGTACAATCTTCTTGCAGTCGTTGGTTGGTGGCGACAGCCGAGTCCAGTCATCTCCTCTTTACCATTTATGTTAGAAGTCCCTGGCATGGCTATCTTCTGAGCATGCCCCACAAAAAGGACAGCCAAATATGCAGCAGAAGAGTCTCGACCTGACTCCAGCGTTGGATGCTCATGTCACATTCCCTTGGAGCTCTTGAAACTCCGACTTGGCCAGGCTGATGGGCCACGGGAGAAGAAGAAGAAGGCAAACATAAGATATGCTATTATTTTTTGCCAGTGGGGTTAGGCGGCTAGTAGCTTACTTAGGCTACTAGTATGGACGCAGGATAGCTCACGCTTGCACTAATGATTTGGTTCCTAGATTTTTTAAGGGAAACTTATCTTATATATATATTTTTTTTTAGTCCAACTTTGTCTTATTCGTCTATTCCCTTCTCAAGCTGCATTGGGCAGTCGAAAACTGCTGAGTTCAGCTGAAAAGTCAGGCTTAAGTTGAAGCATTGACACTTGTATCTAGAGATTGAGTTCGCTAGGCTAGGTCCTTGAATTCATCTCGTGATCACAGTCAAAACAGGTTTCAGGGGACATGCATCGCTTCCATGCATAGTCACGTGTTCAAGTCTTCGCTAGGATCTCAAACATTGCCTTTGATTTTAGTGAGGTAGCTGAACAACAGCTTTGATTTCTGATAGGGTTTGAGGCTGGCTGGTTCCACCGATGCTTACCAAGATTCTTCAAAAGGTGCATTGCAAATGCACGACAGCGAAAGTAAACATTGTTTGTCGATATTAGGCAAGCAAATCTTGGCGCCAAAACCGGGTTCGCAGCCTTCGGTGCTGTCTTGGCCTGTACTTTTTTAAACAAGGGTGAGCGGCTATGACACTACGACAAGGCACTTCTAGAAAGGCATCAAGTTGCATAGATCCAATGATTCTAATGGGCGAGACTGGGAGACCCAAGAGCCAAATGACGATGCATTTAACCTACTGTACATGAAACGCACGTAGCGTAGCTGGGTCTCGGTCGCAAGCGGCACGCACTTCCATGCATCGTGTGCATTGTGTATCCTAGTAATGGGATGTGAGTAGTGAAGTCCAGACCTGAAAGATTTCATTTGGTTTGCTCTTGATCTTTGATTTCCAGATACATACAGCAGAGACTTTTGACTTTCAGGGTGCTTGTGAAAAGGAAGCCAAGGCGTGTGGGGTGACATTGTTTGACATTGGAATGATGTTGAATGACAGTGTCCAGATGAACTGAACAGAAGAGACCACAATTTCATCATGGCTTCCGCTTTAGGTTTGGTGTCTGTCAAGTACTGCGTGGTCGTTTATAGAGTCCCGGGCACTCAACCTGTCGTAGGTGGAAGTGAAGGTGAAGTCATCCAAGGCCAAAGAGGTCGAAGCCAAAGAGGCGATGGGCCTTGAAGAGGCTATGTTGAAGACCATCGCTAGGAACAAGGGACGCTACTAGTCACAAGAAGCATCAAGAAGCTATTCAAATTTTAGGTTGGAGGCCATCACCTTGAAGAGGCTTATGCTGGATGAATCTGAAAAACTCGTTCAACTGGACGTCATCCTGTCGATCGTTCGACTCATATGCGGCACACTACTGCCGGACGTTCGTAGGAGATGTTGCGTCACTGGGGTATGAGCCAAACCAGATCATGTCGAGTGGCTTGCAGGAAAGGCTAAAGGAAAAGAAGAAAGATAAAAAGAAAAGGAAGAAGGACCATGTTAGCATTGATCGAGATCTTGGACCGGATCTTTCAACTGGAACTAGAGATGATCTACACACAACCACCGCAAAAGATCTCAAAAGATGCTGCTTTGGAAAGATCTGGACAAACCTCAGGAGCATCGAGACAGAGAGAGAGAGAGAAAGAGAGGGAGAGAGAGAGATGAGATACCGGGTAGCCCGTAACAGTTGTATACAGTTGTCAGTTTATCGCTTTGCACGAAAAGTATCGAAAAGTTGTTTCCAGGATCATGCAGAATACCCAGACTCCTACAGCATGATGAGCCAGACCATGTTGGCACCCATGATGAGCATGATGAGGCTGGCACTGCATTTGGAGCAATTTTGATCAACTTATCAGACCAGCCAACAAGGTATCCGATGATGCCGGGAGCTCAAGCCTGGCTGTCCGACCCGGTTCGACCCGCTTTCTTTGGGCGTTTCTGCCTGTTTCCATGCGCCGCATGTCGGGGTGAAGCCAACGAGGCCCGGAATGATGATGATGCCTGGTGGCCTCATTGGTGCACCTCTCATCAGCGGGGTCGGGATCACAGCAACCACAGTGATGACAGTCGTAGTTGTGAGATGTTGTGAGTCTTCATACGGTTTGCTTGTTTTATTGTTTGTGATTGAACCACCCGGTTTTCAATGCTCAGGTCGGCCCACTGGGGATGCATGGAGCTCCCACTATGCCATACCCGCTACCAGGACGGGTTCAAAGCCTGTCTTTTGCATGGAATGAGCCTTGAGTATCTTGAGTGTACAAGGAAACATCGATTTTCTGTGCATTGCTTGGTATAAATTTGCCGTTTTGGATCCTATTGTCAGGTGTCCCGATGGTCTGGGACTTAAGACCTTTGAATCGCATTCTTTCTTGACACTGCTGGCAATTTTGTGCATTTGTGAATGGCGACTGGGACGACTTGTTCCACCTAAGTCCATCATCTCAGGTTCGTCCTGCACCAAAAGCTCCAGAAAAGAAAAAGGCACCTGCTTCATCCTGCTTCAAGGGACATAGACTCTTACAAGCTCAAGCTGCAATCGAGAGTATGGTAGGTGGAACACAATCCACAACAACTATATACATGTAGGGTCAGCAAATCATGACCTTCTGACCTACTTCTTGCATTTGCTACTGTACTTGCATTTTTGGTGCTAGCTTGACGATGTGTTGTGTTCCGATGTGTCCATGCTGTGGGTATTAGTGTCCGTTGCTTTGGGGTGTATTGCCAGGAAGAGAAGCGGAGGAGGTTTACTGAGGCCCTGGTTTGCTGGGGTAGGCATACCC